GGGGGGGGAGGGAGAGGGAAAGAAGGGGGTTAGACAGACAGAAAGATAAGAGAACAAAGGGAATATGAGAAAGAAGGTGGGCATCTGAATATGGAGGTGTGTGAGTGACAGAACACAGGGATATGTGTGTGTGTGTGTCTGTATCAGAGAGAGAGACAGACAGAGAGAGAGAATGGGTGTGTGAGAGAGAACACAAATGGGTGTGTGTGTCATGTATCAAAGAAACAACAAGGGTGTTTAAGGAGAGAATATGACAGTGAAAGAAAGAATATACAAGGGTATGTGGAGAACTATAAGGAGGGGTGAGAAAAAGAAACACAATTGTGCACATGAGAGAACAAGGCTGTGTAATGTTGGATATGAGATGGAAATCAGAGGGTGAAAGAGAGAGGACACAATAGTGTGTGTGTGTGTGTGTGTGTGTGTGTGTGTGTGTGGGAGAGAGAGAGACAGAGAAAGAGAAAGAGAGAGAGAGAGAGTTTGCATGGGGGTGTGTTCTCTTTCATGCTAATGAAAGAGAACACAAAGATGGGGGAGACAGCACAAGGGCACCAAAGGAGAATATGAGGGTCGGGAGAGAAGGAAAATGTGAGGCTGTGTCCAGGATGCCACATGTGTGTATCTGAGTGGGCGCTGGGGATGGCACACACATGAACAAAGCAGGCAGAGGGGGTGAGAAGGGCTGAGTTGTATGGGTTCAGTGCTGGCCAGGAAACAGGGTAGGGTAAGATGCCAGGTATTCATTGTGTCAGGATGCATGTGTGTATGTGTTCAAGCACATGTGAGTAGGCGTGTGTGTGTGTGGGGAAGGTTCAGGAAAGAACATGTGGTGAGAGGGTGATAGAGGGTGTGTGTGTCTGTGTGCAATAGAGAAAGAGCAGGAGATAAGACACAAGGGGTCTTAGGAACCAGCAGGTCCAGTTCCCCAAGTCTGCAGTCCAAGAGAAACAGGCTAGGGGAGCCAAGACACTTGTTCAAGGTCACAGAGACAGCAGTAGGATCCTGGTCTGCAGACTCCCAGCCCAGGGCTCTTACCTTCCTTCCACTCCCCTCCCCCTTTCCTCCTCCATCCATCCTCCCTCCCATCCACATCCCATCCCCCTTTCTCCTGACAAGCTGGCTGTTGCCTTGGCCAGCTACCAGCTTGGGGAAGGGCCTTTCTCCAAGAGTCCCGGCATCTTCCACATCCTAGCTGATTGTGGCTCTATATTCCTCCCTTTCCTTCATCCCCCTCCCTATAACTCCCTTGTCTTCCTCCCTTCAGGAAACCCTCCCTTATCACAGAACCACAGACTCTCAGACCTATGCCTGAAACAGACTCTGTTTTATAACCTACCTGCTCAGTGGTCATCCAGCCTTTGCTTGGAGATATCTAGTGACAGAGACCCCACCACCTCTGGAGGCAGCCCACTCCACTTTGGAACAACAGCTCTCATTGTTAACAAGTTTTCCTTGAAATCAAACCCAAATCTGCCTCTTTGCAAATGACACCCATTCCTTCTAGCTCTGTCCTCTGGGGCCAAGTATAAGTCTTATGAATGCCCCACAAATACTTGATGGCAGCTGTCATGTCCCCCTCATGTTTCCTTTTTCTCCAAGCTGTGATTGATCCTTTTACAGTAGCACGAACTCAAGGCTCTTCAGCAACCTGATTGAGCTCCTCTGGCTGATCTGTACTTTATCCTTGTCTAATCATTTACTAAAATTCGGGTCCTGTAGCCTAAAATATTCCAAACGGGGTATGACCATGGAAGAGGGCAGGGGAACTAAACATCCCCCGGGTGCTGGACCCTATTCCTCCATCCTACCATTAAAGGCATTGGCTTCTTGGGCTGCCGCCAAAGGTACCTTGAAGTCCAATAAGACTCGGGCTTTTCTGATGAACTGTTGGAATGGCTAAGCCTCTTCTATCTTGTGGTTCAGAAGTTGATTCTTTGGACCCAAATGGAAGAATTTACATTTGGTCCAGCCCCACCCATGGTTTCATCTTCCTAGATCGGTCTATCCTGTCCTGATCCAGTTGAGCTCAAGAACCGTGTACTAGGTGTGGCTCTACTATGTGCACGGAGCCTGTGCTCATCCTTTTGGGATGTTCTACATTTCCTATTTTTCATTATTAAAAAATCCCTTGGGAGCTCGTCTCCCAGGGTCCAGACAACTCGCTGGGGGTGGGACTTCCTATTTCTCTTGATGTGTCAAGGTTACCAGAGGAGAACTTGGGCTGTTCCAGGGCTATCCTTGGCTCTCACCGTATGGGAACAGCCCATTTTAGCGCATGCATTTCTTTGATGACTTCCTTTCCACGATTTCCCCGGGTGTTTCCTCCTCTGTCATGTGTTACAGTCCATTCATGCCACCCCTCCAGGGCTCCACTGCCACTTGGGGGTGGGGGGGAGTTAGCTTCAGTTTCAATTATTGGCTCCCATAACAGGACGTTGAAAGCATAGCAATGTTTAAAACATGGACTGTGGTTTCGTGGAGAAGCTCGGGGTCCTCCAGCGCCTTAGCCCGTCTCTCTGACCAGCAGGCCACCTCCTGCCCTCCATCCACTTGGCTGTCGAAAGAGTACAGATCCCGGGGACGCTCCACTGGAGACTTCCCTCCAAGTGGACCTCAACGGTCCTAACTTTAGTCTCCCGTCCCCATTGCCCCTACCCCCACCCCCACCCCGGTCCTCGCGCAGCCGTTGGGGGAGGGGGACGGCGGACAGCCCTTCCCCTCAGGCCCGGCTGTGTCTTCTGCCGAGCTCTCCGCCCCTCCCCCGAACACCTGCGGGTCCGCGTACGCAGGAGGGGAAGCCCCGGCTCGTGAGCCTTGGGCCCTCGCGCAGGCGCCGAGTGCGCCTGGCTTCCCCCGAGCAGCTGAGCAGCCGCCCCCGCAGCCTGTCAGCCGAGGCTCCCAGTCGTCATGGCAACAGGCAGCCCCGCCGGGATGTACCGCGGTGGGGAAGGGGGGGAGAAGGGAATCTCATAAGAAAAGAGCGAGAGCCCCCCGCCCCTCCCCCACTCTTTTTCAGTTCCCTTCAGTCTTCTCCTTTCAGCAAATCAATAATTCATCCTTGCTCCGGTTTAAGCCAGTTCCCCCACCAGCCCCCTCGAGACAGACTGCAAAAAGGGTATGGGGGTGGGGGGATTCCCCGGCCCGGGGGCGGCGCATGCGCGTGGGCCCGGGGATTCCGCGCGGAGGATGCCGCAGTGCGGGGGGGGGGGTAGGGCGGAGGGACTCCTCATGCTGGTGCCACTGCCGGGGAGGCCCCCTCACGTTGCTAGGGCGCCCCTAAAGCCTCTTCATTCGCCAGACATCCCCCAACGCACGTGTACGGTCGTGAATCTCCGTGTCTCCCCCTCCTGCAATGCTGGGCCCCGTGGAGCAGCCCCGTGTCTCCTCCTGATCCATTCCTGGGCCTCTCCCTCACGTCTCCTTCTCCAACTCTGGGCAACCCGCCTGCGTCCCCTCCTCCGTCCCTCCAGCATGCTTGTGCTTCCTCGAGAGGTCTCCTCTCTCCCCCCACTACAGCCCCAGCTACCCCCTTCCCATCCTCGGGTGTCCCCCTCCGCCATATTTCCCCTTCCTTTGTCCCTGGATCTCCCCCCCCCCCACCATCTCCCCTCTCCCTGTTGGCCCTCGGAGCCCCGCAGTCCCCGCCACGTCACAGCAGTCCCTTCCCACCCCTCCCCCTCCCCGGCAGGCCCAGCGCTAAGGGAAGCCCTGGCTCGTGAGCTGAGCGCTTTGCGCAGGCGCCCTACGAGTCTGGCTTTCCCCAGCTTCAGCCGCCCCCGCTTGCCGGCCGAGGCGCCCCATCGTCATGGCAACGGGCAGGCCTGCAGAGACGAAAGGGGGTTACCTAGCCTTCCCTTAAGCTCACTTCACAGCACCCCCACCCCACCCGCGGGGATCAATAATTCATCGTTGCTCCGGTTTGAGCCGGTTTCCCTAACCGCCTTCGCTGAAGGACTGCAAAGAGGGGGGTATGTGTGGGGATTCCCCGTCCGGGGCGGCGCATGCGCAGCAGCCGGGGATTCCGCTCAAGGATGCCGCAGTGCGAGGGGAGGGGGCGGGGCGCCTCGTGCTGCTGCCGCCGCTGTGAACCTTGATCGCTTCCCAGGTCTTCCCCAAAGGCTTTCCCGTCGCACCACCCCCAACATACCTTGACTCCAATTAATATTTCATTTTATCCTCACAAGGGCCTAGGGTGGTAGATGCTATTATTATTCCCATTTTACAGATTAGGAAGCAGAGGCAGGACTTGCCCAGGGTCACACAATGTACAGGTCCAGAACTCTATCCACTTAACTACCTACCTGTCTCCAAATGGACTGCCACCATTTGTTACGTGCCTGCCAAGGCACCTGGTGACACAAAAGTGGCAAGGGAAGTGTCTGCCCTCATAGGGGAGGAACAGGTTTAGAGAAGGAAAGGGATAAACATTTATATAACAGCTATTACATGATTTTTACAAGTATCTTATTTGATCCTCACAATAATTCTGAGATATAGGTGCTATTATGATCCTCACTTTACAGGTGAGGAAACTGAGGCAAACAGGCTAAGCAGCGCCCAAGGGCACAGCCAATATGTGTCTGAGGCCACATCTGAGCTCAGGTCTTCCTGAGGCCAAGATCACCAGCCAGCTGCCTCTGGAAAGGCAATGTCAAGAGGGATTCACTAACTCACAGAATATTAGAACTGGAAGAGGCTCTCATCCAGACATGAGGTCATCCTCACCTGAGGGCCCCATTCCCTCTCACAGGCTGTAAAAATCACCCACTTAGTCCATTTGTTAGGCTGTGTCTATGTTGCTCTCCCCATGGGAGGGGAATTACCTTGCCTGAAATCCAATGCTTCGACCAGGGCTCTTGCAGAAACTGCCATCTGCCCCTGTCTGGAGTTCAACTGTTATGCAACAGGTCAAAATAGGACACAGATAACCAGACACCTACGCAGGTTTGGGACCCAGTTCTGTTTATTTAATGAATGGACTGCACACTGAGCACCTATCGTGTGCAGGGACCTGTTCTGGGCTACATCAGGAGGGGAAGACAAAGGATGATTGACCATCCATTGAGAGCCCTTGGGGGAGCTCTCCAGCTAGCTGGGGAAAGACAGGGGGCACATTTAATAACTGCAATAAAAGAGAATGAGATAAAGATGGCAGGAAGGGCCCAGACATGAGGCTGTGGATCTAATTTACTTCTTCCTGGGGAGTGGGGTAATTGGAGAACTTCCTAGCATGGACCTTGCAGAATAGATAGGATTTCAGCATGGAAGGGACAATAAATATTCCGGGTGTGGAGAACAGGTTTACCCACCAAAAGACTTTCTTTTTTTAGCCCCTCCTTCTGTTCCAGCTTCCCTTGGGGACCCTCTGGTCCCTCTCTCAGCCTGGGGAGCATAAGGTTTACTCCAAATTCCCTGGTTCTTCCAGGGTTAACCCTCCAAACAGCCTAGGTCCTTCCTAGGGTGAACCAAAAGGGAAGAAGTCTCCTGACACTGAGCAGGGTAGGCTTCAGTCTTGTCCTTTAGTGGTGTTCAATTGTCTGCAAGTTAAAACCAAAAAGAAACTTTTTTCCCCCCTCTGATGAGGGAAAAGGGAGAAAAGGTGAGATGGAGCCTGAGAGCTATGCAGAGTGGTCACTCCACCTTCACCCACTTGCTCCATTCCCTGGCCTTCTGCCAGTGCTGGAGGTGACCTTGCAAGAAAGGTGACAGACTCTGATGCCCTTAAAAACTTGAGGGTCCCAAAGTGCAAACGCTTTTTAGAGGCAGCAGCCATAGCCTTCTACAGCCCCAAATCCACACACCAAGCCCTTGAGAAAAGAGGAAGCCCTTGGTGGGAGCAGGGAGCAGTAGCTGGAGAGCAGAATCTCTCTAGTGCCAGGGAGGTTTCTGGCACTAGCTAGGCCCAAACCAGTAGGGACAACTCTAGGCGGGGGCTATCCCTTGGCAAGTGGTGGCCACTGGACCATGCCCCTTAGGTTTTAGTGGGCAGGGAGGAGGGGGAAGGGGAAGGTAGCCAGTAAGCTATGTGCTACCATGACCAGGGAATCTCTGACCATCCCTGAGGGGTGGGAGGCAGGGGAGAGAGGGCACTTTTACCTCCAGGATTTTAGTCTGTGGCTACTGATCCTGGAGTTGGAATTAAGCAAAGTTAAAATAATTTGTTATGAAAAAAAAAATTAAATACCCCCCCCCCCCCAATCTTTTATTGGCTAGAGTAGCTCAGATTTGTTGCCCACAACCGCCAGTGGGAAAGAAGGAAGCCCCACAATGAAGGCAGTTACTTAGCTCCTTGGAGGCCAGCTTCACCGGTTACTGAACCTGCTCAGGAGGAATTGGGGACATAAGTAAAGTTGGCAGAAACCCTGTGGAAAGCAGATGACCAGAGGGAGGGGGACGTGGGGTGTGTTGGTAACTGGTCCATCCAACTAGCGTGGAGGAGGTGCCTAACCTATGTAGCTGTGGGGTCACAGTAGAGTAGAAAGCCAGGGATATATGCCTAAGTCTCCCTTAACTTCTTCAGCTTGAAGTTCAAAGATCAATTGGGAGAGGAAGAACTAGGATCTAGACCTCAGTTCTGTTAGAGGCCCTGATCACCTGGGACAGACAACCTCACAGTTTAAGAGAGGAAGAAAGCCCTTTTTTCCCCTGCTCTGCCAAAGTCAGCGAGGCCTGAGAAATTGATGTTGAGCTGTGGGGCCCTGCAGATGAAAGCTAAAGAGGTCTATTCCCACCCCACTCCCAAAATGAGGTGAGGGGGGCAGTGGGGGGGAGGGAGGGAGAGAGAGAGAGAGAGAGTGATCAGTGCTGCCACGCTGGGTCAGGAAAATTGGGATAGGGACCTCTCTGCCCTGAAGTCAGAGAAGGGCAGGGCCTTCTTCCCAGGGCGGCAGCAGGAAAGGAACCCTGGACGGTGGTGACTCCTCTTTTAATCAGTAGTGCTGAGAACAGGGGAGAGAAATGTGTTTAAAAAAGAATTCCACTAGTTCTATCTGGAACTGTTCTTCCCCATCCTCCCAACCCTGAATCTGAGGGCCTGAGACCCCGCGGTGCAGGCTAGGATGGGTCCCCTCTCTTCCCCTGCCTGTTTCCATTCCCCAAGTTCTATTTCTGGGCATTGTAGGCCATGGTCCGCTGGTTCATGGGGTTGTCAGGGGACCTCATCCACTCCTTCTTCAACAGCTGTTTCAGCTGGGATAGACGCATGTTGGGGTTCTCTTTCTTCAGTCTTGGCAGGTGCAGCTCCTCAAAGGCAGTAAAAGCAGCTTTCATGCGGCGCTCGGGGTGGCGGTCAGAGTCGTCACTGACACTGGAAGGGAGATGTGGCAGGAGGTAGGAGGTGAGGGCTAAGCCCAGGAGGAGGGGATGGCAAAGGGAAGGCCCAAGTGCCAGTGGAGTCAGCCAGTGCAGGCAAGCTTCCCTCCAGGGAGGAACCCAGGGAGAAAGACGTCTGCAGCAGCCCCTGGGGACAAGAAGGTAACTGCCATCCCGCCCCATTCCCCGGGGAAGCCCACCAGGCACCTGAGGGCAGCGATGGCATCTTCGATTGTTCTGGCTTCCACGCTCCCCTCCTCGGGGACGCGCCGGTTGACGTTCTCCTCCAAGGGTACTTCAAGGTGACTTTTTGGTTTGTCCACTGTCATAGAAAGAATGGATGGAGAGGGGGGGCATTTTAGAAAGGAGATTATGGTGGTTGGTATATGGACAAGGGGGTCACAGTACAGGTAAGCTAGCAGTTCTGAGGGAGCCTGGAGACTGCCCAGAGTAGGAGGCCTGCCTACAGGAGGGCCTTTCCTGCAGCCTCAGTGTTAGCACCACACTCCCCCACACAGGATGTGAGGTCCTCGAGGGCAGTTCCCAGCACAGTACCTGGCACATAACACACACTTAACGAATGCTTTTCCAAGTTGTGTCTGTCTCCAAGAGGCGGATGTATGAGAGGCTAAGTGCACTTAATTTTCCAGGCTCTCTGCCTGAATTGACTGCTCTCCCCTCTGGGTCCCCTGGCTGGGCCAGGCTCAGTGATGAAGGCAGCACCCCATCCCCCCACTTTGGGCAGCCAGCTTCGTCCTTCTGCTGGTCACGCAGCAGCCTGTGCTCCCATCCAGTCTCAGAGGTGGAGATCTGGGGTATCTAGGGGGCCAGGAGGGGAGGACAGCTGCTTTGGTGGTCCACACCCCCGGGAGCTGCTGCTGCCCAATCTCTGGAGGGTAGATGTTGGAGCTTCTGCGGCCACTGACCCTTCTGGGCAAACTTTTCAGCCAGAGCCCTTGATGTGACCCTCTAGTCTCTCCCTTAGGCTAGGGAGCACTCCAGCACTTCTGGGGAGGCGGCATGGTTCAGTGGAAAGAGAAATGGGCTTAGAATCCAAAGAACTGGGTTCAAATCAGACTCTGCAACTTATCAGCCATGTGGCTTTGGGCAAACCCTTTCCCTTCCTAGGCCTTAACTTCCTCTTCTATACAGTGAAGGAGCTGGACTAGATGGTGTCTGAAGTGTCCCAGTCCACGGCCCACTTTTGACCTGCCCTTTGGGACTTTCCAGCACACACTCTGTGATCCAGTGATTCCATCTCCTGACTCTGGCCATTTGCACTGGCTGTTCCCCATGCCTGAAATGCTCTCCCTCCTGGCTTCCCTGACCTAGCTAAAATCCCACCTTCTACAAGAAGCCTTGATGCAGTTGGGGTTAAGTGACTTGCTCAGGGTCACACAGCTAGTAAATGTCAAGTGTCTGAGGTTTGGATTTGAACTTAGGTCCTCCTGACTACAGGGCCAGTGCTCTATCCACTGCACCATGGAGCTGCCCCTACAGGAAGCCTTTCAGATCCTCCTTAATGCTAGTGCCTTCCTTCCATGGATTATCTCCACTTTATCCTGTCTCTATCTTGTTTGTACAGTTGTTTATAAGTTTTGCCCCCGACTAGATCGTGAGAGCAGGGGCTGTCTTATCTTTCTTTGTACCCCCAGCATTTAGCACAGTGCCTGGTACCTAGTAGGTGTTTAAAAAATCTTTGCTGACTGAATGATTTACCCATCACAGGGGCAGTGGGCCCAGGAAGAACATGTCCCAACCAAACCATGGGCTAGAGGAAGAGGAAAGCGGGAGAGAAGGATGCCCCCTTCCCTGTCTCCCTGGGGGTGGCAGGCCCCTCTGGGACCACAGAGCACAGGCTCTCGGTCCAGGGGCCTACCTGTCTCCTCATTCTCCTTCTGTTGCTGGTCTCGGCGAAGCGTCTCCTCTATCTGGGCCCGAGTCACTTTGCCTGGGGTCAGGGGCTTGGGCGCCTTCCCCTTTAGCTTGGAGTCTTCTTCTTCCAGCAGCCTCTGCAATTCTTTCCTCCGTTCCAGCTGCTCTAAACGGCGCTTCTCCTTCTCCTCCTGTGGGAAGAGAAGACAAGCCCTGGTCAATCACAGGGTGCTCTGCTTCTACCAGCCCATACCAGCATGGTGTCCTGGGCTCAGGCCTACCAGGTAAGACATTTAGACATTTTAGAAAGGACACCGACCAGCTAGAGAACATCCTGAGGGAGATGGGAAACCATGGCATAGGAGCGTCAGTTCAAGGAAGGGCATGTGTGACCCAGAGACGACTGAGCCATTGAAGAGGGAAATGTGGTCTGTTCTCAGGGACAGAACTAGGACTAATGGTAGAAGCAAACTTAGGTTCAATGGAAATAGAGACTTTCTAGCTGTTAAGACTAGAATGTCACCTTAAGAGGGGCCAGGTTCCTTTTACTTTGTGATACTAATAGGTCCACACCCCAAAGAGATCACAGAGAGGGGAGAAGGGCTCTGGGTACAAAAATATTTACAGCAGCTCTTTTCTTGGTGCCAAAGACCTGGGAGCCAAGGGGGAGCCCCTCACTGGGGAATGGCTGCTCAACCTGTGGCATGAGAATGGAACAGAAGAGTGCCATGCCACTGGAAATGAGGGAGGGGCGGGATCATTTCAGAGAAACCAGGTCAGTCTTTTATCAACTGATAGAGTGAAGCTGGAGCAAAACCAGAACAGTTTACCAGAACAACACGACCATGTTGTAAAAGACAAACAACTTTGAAAGATGTAAGAACTCTGCTCAAGGCCAACGAGCGGCAGACTCCAGAGGACCCACCATGCTGCCCACCCCCTGACAGAGAGTCGACAGACTCGGGATGCTGATGGAGACATAGCTCCTGGGTGTGACCAATGCAGACATCTGTTTTGCTTGACTCTACATGTTTATTAAAAGGGTTCTGTTTTTCCTTTTTTTCAATGTGTGTGTGTGTGGAGCGAGGAAGGGGGTAATGTGTGACAGTAAACTGATTTGTGCTAATTAGAATACATTTAAAAGCAGAGGTAATGGGTTCTCCCTGTCACTGCAAGTGTTCAAGCAAAGGAGGCAGGAACAGCATGGAGATCAATTAACCAATAAGCATGCATTAAGTGACTACTACATGCTAGGTTCTATGCTAGGCACTGGAGATACCTGTATAAAGAATAAAGCAATCCCTACTCAAAATCCTAAGGAACTTACGTTCTAGTTGGGGAGAAAATAAGCACACAGATAAATATATAAAATGAAAAAATACAAACTCAGGGAACCTAGTTATGCTAGAAAAGGAATTAGGGTTAGGGAAGGCAGGTATTACCAGTAGGGGAAGCTTAAGAAAGGTAGGTCATAGAAAACATTCTTCATCATCTCCAGGCTGGGATGGATGGCCTCTGAGTTACCTGCCAACCCTGAAATTCTTAGACTGAGAGAGGGCCCTGGGCTGGAGCCAGGACAGCCACCTAGCAAGCGAGCAGCGTCAGGACAGGAAGAGGCAAGTCCAGTACGACCCTCTCCCTGTCTGAGGTCATATGAGGAACCATCAAGAGAACAGGATGAGAGGCTGGAGAAAAGAAAACAGAACTGTAGTGGACCTGAGGGTACTTGAGGGGTGATGCCTCATTCATTTCTGTATCACAAAAGCTTGTACACTGAAAACATCCTAGAATGTCTGTTGAATAAATGACTATGAATGAGAAAATATAGAAATGTTTGGTCTAGGGTTTCCCTCTACCCCCATCCCACTCCATTCCTACCCAGTAGAAAAGACTTGCTGTGATTGGAGTTGGGGCTGGGGACTCTTCTAGGCCCAATATGAAGAAGTTATGTATTAAAGTTTCAAGTCAATTTAAGAAAGAAATTTCTAACCCATAGAATTATTTAAGAATGGAACATGCTACTACCATTTTATTTTTAAACAAGAGAGGGCCAAACTATGCTTTTCTTAAGCTAACCTGAAAGACCTACATGATGAAGTCAGGGCCTCCCATCACTTGCCCACCTGGTTGTTTTCCTGGACTTCATCACTATCTCCAGAAATCTCAGCATCTTGCAAGATCACAAACTTACACCTCCACAGTACTCCATGTCCCTGAGGCCCTTCTCTCCCTCTGACTGGTGAGGGAGGACACCATGGAAAGCCCCTCCCAGATCCTCCATTTAAGATGGGGATCTAGGGCAGCCACTGGCTGGCTGAATGACTTCGTCATGTACCTGGGGCTGGGTATATATCCTCCTTCCTCCCACCCCCTTTCACCTTCTTTCTGTGTGCTGCCTCCCACTATTAGATTGAGAGATCCTTGAGGGCAGGGAACTCTTTTTTGCCTTTCTTGTATCCCCAGCGCCTGGCACAATGTTTATGGACTGACAACTGCTTAGTAAGCATCTCCTTTCTGCACATATTCAGAGATAAATTCAGAGATAAATAAGTCATGACCCTTGTCCTACAGAAATTCCATCTAGTGATGGAGTTAACAATACACAAATGATTAGATTACAAAGCAAAATACAGTAAAGGGCAGAAGAGGAAGGAATAAAGTGATAAGGAAGGCTTAGCAGTTAAGTCAGCAATGGCAGAGTTGGGAAAACAAGGAATTAGAGATCTAGGCCCACAACCTCATTTTATAGACAAGGAAACTGAGACCCAAAAGTGAGGCAACTCATCCCAGGCCACAAACATAGTAAGCAGTGAAGCTGGCATGTGAAATCTGGGCCATAGGACTTCAAAATCCGCTACTTTCCATTTATCCATGTTTTTTTGGGGGGGGGTTAAGTTGCGAGAGGGTAGAAAACAGTTCATTCTGGTTGAAATAGAAGAGCAATAAAAGCTAGCATTTTTTAATAGTGCTTTAACTTTTGTAAAACACTTTGCAAACATATCTCATTTTCTTCACAACACTGGGAGGAAGGTGCTATTACTATCTCCATTTTACAGATGAAGTTAAGTGATATCCGGATCCAGAGCTCTGTATTCACTGTGCCACCCAGTTGTCTCACAGAAGAGCTAGATTTGCACAGCCTGGCTTTCAGGTTTGCAAAGTGCAAAGATTATCTAACTGGAACTTCACAGCACTCCTGGGCGGTAGGTGCCATTATTCTCCCCATTTTACAATGAGAAAACTGAGGCAGATAGGGGCTAAGTAATTTGCCCAAAGTCACACAGCTGGTAATACATATCAGACTTGAACTCAGGTCTTCCTGACTCCAGGCCCATTGTTCTCTCTACTCCATTACCCAGCTGTATAAAATGGGAGCAGTGGGAGATAGGTTTGGGAAGGGAAACTGGTGTCAAATCATGAAGGGCCTCAATGCTCGTTTGAGGAATGGAATCTTTTGCTGTGGATCATGGAGCAGGTGCCACAAACAGGGGTTGAGCAAAGGAGAGAAACGATCAGAGATGGATTTTAGGGAGAGGACTGCTGAGGAGGGACTGGAAGCAGGCCAGTTAGGCAAATGGTGCAGCAGTCCAAAGTATACAGTCTTTGGCATGCATACTGAGAAGAGCAGAGATAGATCCTGGGCCCAGACCCTCAGAGGCCACCAGTCCGACCCTCTCGAGTTAAGTGACTTGTCTAAGGAAGCGACAGAGTGAGGATCTGAGTCATAGCAGTATCTCTCCCATCCGACCCTCCTTCCTCCTGGTTTTCTGCTCGACCCTCTGGGCTCCCCTGCTTGACTCTCTAATCAGGTTCGCTCCCAGGTCCGTGACAGAAGCTGTGTGAGAGGAAATGGTACAACTCACTCATGAAGCCAAGATTCTGGGATTGGCCTTCAGCCCGTGAGCCTATGGCGCCACTCACAGAGATGGGGAAGAGCGTGGAGTTTTTGCGGCCGCCTCGGCTCCTCTCCTAGGGTTGGTCAGTTTGTAAACGGCCTCAGAGTAGTTTGTCAAAACCAGCAGGATGGAGATGGCGAGGGCTGCCATTTCTGCCTGGGACACATCAGGCACCGGGAACGTTAGGCCTGGCCTATCTGCCCACTCCTCAGGCCTGCTTGGACGCTTGAGAGACAAGACCCGGAGAAGGACAGGAAAGTCAACCTGGAAGGCAGCGATGAAGGCTAAACTAGTACTGTTCGGCAGGGACGCTCACCTCATCTTTCTCAGGGCCACTTGAAAGAGAATGGAATCTCTTCTTGTCACAGGTCACCTTGCTTACAAGGAAGGTGACCAAGACACACTGCATTTTTTTAACCGGGGGTGGGGGTGGGGAACTGACACCCCTTGAGAGCAGAAATGGCTTCATTTTTTTCTATGTCCAGAACTTAACATGGCGATTGGCACATAGTAGGTGTTTAATAAATGTTTGCTGATTGACAAATATTTTGTATACATGTGTATTTATGTCTTCATGTTGTCTCTCCCCAGATAATATGAATTCTCAAGGACAGGGTCTGTTTCATTTTTGTCTTTCTATATTTAATTCCTGGCATACAGTGCAAATTTAATAAATGATTGTTGATTGATTTGATGACTATACTTAGGGAGCAGTGGGTGAATCTCACTCCACCCTTGTGAGCAAGACAGAGAAGTGAGCTGGATGATCTTATAGTTATGTGAAGTTGGTAAGCATTTAGTAAGTGCTACTACATGCCAGGGACTGTGCTAAGTGCTAGGGATACAAAGAAAGGCAAAACAATTCCTGCCCTCAAGAAGTTCACCGCCCAAGGGAGAGACAACATTCACGCCTGCGTACAAAACAATATATTAGGGGAAGCTGGAGGTAACCTTACAGGGCAGGCACTAGCAACTGGCCCGACTGGGAAAGGCTGCTTGCAGAAGGTAGGATTTAGCTAGGCCCTAGCTGCTAGGGCTTGAAGAAAACCAGCGAAGTCAGGAGGCAGAAATGCAGAGGGAGAGAATGCCAGGCATGGGAGACTGCCCATGACAACGCCTGGAGTCAGGAGAAGGAGTGTCTTGTTTGAGGAACAAGAAAACCAGTGGTGCTAGATGGTAGAGTATGTGGAGGGCAGGCAGGCATAAGGAGAATGGAAAGGTAGGAAGCAGCTTTCTCTTGATCCTGGAGATCTGGGATTGCACCGTAGCCCACTTTGACAGCTGAGTGCTAGGGA